ACCAAGTGTGACCAAGGACCAGTGGCTTATGACCACTAGCAAACAGACGAGAAGAACCGCTGATCTGACCGAAGGATGCATGATTACTCGATCAGTATTTGCTGAAATATATACAAAATTGGTTGTATATTAGTATAAATTCTTCATTTGATGCTCATGTTCAAGGTGCATATATCACGACTGGCAAATACGCATACCTACATCAACTGTGCAACTATATAAAATAATTTTACCGACAGGTTTATGGTCCTTCGATAATTTTTTAATCTCTCCATTTAGGACCTGAATATGTGAACATGAAAAGTTAAATACATGCAAAATGAAAGAGAGAGAAAGAGACAGAGGTCACACAAGAACATATTGCAATTCTCTCTGGACAGATTTCAGTCCATTTTTCAATATAACATGTAACCAACGCACAATATATTATAATGATAGCCCGTCTAAAGTTTTTCCCTGCAAATACGATAAAAGTAAATAAATAATTAGCAAATTAATTTAAACAGCAGAAAAAGGCGAAGTTTCAAGTGAAAGTTCAGTAAACAACATCAAGCTATGCATATGTCCAAAGTGCATGAAGCAGGACTTACCTTTTTATCACTTCGAAAACTTTATGTCAGCCACCAACGTAACATGTAAACGAGCTTGTACTGTTCTACGTGGCCCTTTATATATGCCTATTAAAAGCAGGAAAGTAGAATAAAAGTTATTTCCTTATAATTTGTTACCTGTCTGACAATTCCAATTTCGCAATGGGAGTGATGTTTTTTTTAATCCACAGTTTCGTTAACACCACTATTAACTTTGACGCTTTTGTTCAACTTAAACCCGTGCAATTCTTGCCCGTCTGTAATTCTGGTGACATACAATGTAGAAGACGATATTTGCATTAATATGAGGAGCAGATGCAGCATCTATATACAAACTAATGTTCACCATGAACTGGACAAACTGGCAGCTGGGAATACCGTCTACAAGGGTCACAGATTGCTTTTTATTCTCACTTAATATTCAAAAATATGCCTCGGGCGAATTTTGTGCACTTTCTATTGTGACCAGAGATTTGGGTGCTTTTTGTATGGGATTAATGTTATCACTCAGCTGGGCTTTAGTATAGAGTAGTCACTCAGAGGGATAGTGCCTGTAGTGCTAACCGGCTGTGTGCTGATAGACATTGACAAAGATGGCATCATACCCCGTCAGAATCTAACAAAGCTGTTGCTCTATGGTGTAGACTGACATTTGGAGTAGGCAGCCAGCTACAGAAAACGCTGCGTTTGTTTTGTCACTGTGCTAGGTGGACCTCACTCTTAACTGTTCAAATGCAACATTTAGTAGCTTTTATTCATACCAGGGTCATTTGCCCGTTTGTATCTCTTCAATACCTGTAGCTTAACGACTGAAGTACATGTAATTCAATACGTCTTGTCCGCGTCCTCTGCCACACACAAGGCCTTAACCATGACCTCGTAGTCTCATTTAACAAATTTCACACTATTTGGTTACAATACGTATGTTACAAATTCATGAAATAATGTATTATATAAAAAATAAGCTAATGCATGGGGTCGTAAATTTCCTTGCTGTTGAGTACGAAAATGTTGTTAATTTAGTTCGGATATAAATGAGGGTTCAAAAAGGGGAATGGCGATTAGCCTACATTGCATCCAAGTACATGTATATGCTTCCCTTAAAAAATAAGTGAAAATAAAAAA